AACAGACAAATCTTAAAATTCATATGCTTATATTTGAATCTTAATCGGATGGAATTGCTCGTTTGAGTTTTATGAGTAAATCTTTTTCCAACTTAAAATGTTAATCTTATTAAGATGACTAGCCCAAATTCATTGTATGTTGATCTATGTTATGGTAATTAACCAATATGAGATTTATCCATTAACATTTTTTTAAATAAATTTATCATATATGAATGGTTATATTTAGGGCTCGTTTGGTACGGCTCAAAATCCAATTAAAATTGAAAATATAGCCGTTATTGGGTCTCACTCATCTAATAAAAGTCAACAATAATAGCTAATTTTTCAATTTTAATCCGATTTTTATCTCTACCAAACACCCTCTCAATTAGTATGTGATCACATATATGTTTGCACGATGTCAAATAGCATTATTCTGTGTATAATGTTCAGTTTCTTTAATTAAAGAATAGGCTAAGTATATAAATGTATAGGGTAATTAATATAACATGTCAACATCTTTTGCATTAATTGCACAAATCGTTCATATTGTTTCAAACTTGACATTTGCACCTTTATTTTAACATTTTCTTACAAAATTAGTCATTTTCGTCAAGTTCTTCAATCAAATGTGAGTAATTGTTGGAAAACGTCAATATCATTTGCTTTCATTATGCAAGTCGTCCATATCGGTTTAAATATACCATTAGGGTCCTCAAATTGACCCTTATCTAAACACGTCTAATGAAAAGAATTTATATTATTTACATTCTGGAATTAAATTTTGAAATTTATATTACATCTAACAATCAAAATTCAATACCAAAACTCAGACCCTGTTTGGTCATTAAAATCAGATTTTTAGTAGATTTTGATAAAAGTTGATGAAATGTGTGGTTGAAAAGTTGTGTAACCCATGAAATACGTGATTAAAATTGATAGCTGACTTTAACTAAAATCTGAATTTTAATTGTACCAAACAAAGGTTGAATATTCAAAGTGAAACTAAAAAAGAAATAAACCAAATTAAATTTAAAAGTTTAAAACTTTCATTCGGTTATTTCTTTTACCTTACGTTCGGATCTAAAAAAATTATCAAATGTGATTTATAAGATGAAGCTGTTAATCAATCGACTTTGGTACAAATAATTTACGAGATACAAAAAGTTGTTTAATAATTTAAAGAAAAAAATTACCAATCGACCAAATAATTTAAATTATGTCCAACTAATTAGCGTTCCTCGGCCAATTGTCTTGTTAATAATGATCTTGTCCTTGTTTCAATTATTAAAAGACAGCCAAATTATTAGATAGTTATTCTGTAACACCATCAATCTGATTGGGATAATAAGCACAAAACGTACTAATCGTTTGTACTCGTTGTGCAAATCATTTTTATTATTTCAAATTTAGCATTTACACCAATTTCAACTTTTTCTTGTATTCTGTCCCATTTCGTCAATTTCTTGCATCCAATATGGATAATTGACACAAAACTTCCTCATCGTTTGCGTTTATTGTGCAAATCGTTTCTATTATTTCAATTTTGATATTTGAGTCCTTAGGTCGACATTTCTTTTTGCAAAAAGTTATTACCATCTATTTTCTCTATTAAAGTATTGTAGAATGACTAATTTAACCTCCTATTTAAATAAATAAATAATATGCAAAAAGAAAAAAATGCAGTTAGAGTTCCAAATTTTGTAAAAAGTAAAAACTAAACTCTCATAAAATAATTTAAAACATATTAATAAAAGAACAATATTTAGAACCTGTTTGGTACAGATTCTCATTTTCTACAGTAAATCAATTCTCATTTTCAACCACACATTCTTCAATAAAATAATATTTTTCATCACATCAATACTTTTTTCTTCTTTTTCAACCACACATTTCCCATTATATCACTA